TTGCAGGTGTTGGATTGTCTTTAATGAATTCTTTAATGAAATGTTCCGATTGTTGAATTGCTATATGTTAACATTTGTAAGACAGAGACAATACGATAAATAATAATATTTTGTTAAATTGTGCCATTTTTATCCACATAAATAAATTATAGAATACAAATACATTTATGAACAGTATTAAAACTAAGATTATACATTTGGATCTGAAACTTATTATTCGCACTACTTTACTTCATATTAGTTGAGCTTTATACCGTATTAGTACTACAGTACCTTATAATTTCGATAGGTATACCATTTACATTGTTTTTCTTCTTCAATGTTTCATAAATTTTATTTATTTATAGTATTTTTATTGATTATAATTCATTTACTGTATAAATTGATTATTATTTATTTATTATTATTATTAATTAATGTATTATGTTACTATATTATTACTCATAATAACTTATTACCTATATTATCATCATAATGGGTTATCATCTTATATTGTCAAAAATAAATTATCAGCTAAGTATTGGATTTATTTTGGCTGAAGCTTCTTTAGTTCTTTCAAAGTCACATGATGCTGTTGGGGAACATTATTAATCCTTATCTTAGTTATTAGTAAAGATAGGAATAGATGTAATTCAAGTACTAATTATTCTTAAATAATTTTAAAACTAAAATAATCAAAAGATAATTTTGATTCATAATGCCATTTTCAAAGTTTGAAGAACGGTTTAGTTTGTGATGTTGTATGTGTTAAAAGTTTGAAGAACGTTTTAGCTTATTACGTTCTTTGTGTAATTGTTCAAAGAACTTAATAGGTTATAGGTTATGAAGCTAATTATATCAATTCTTTAAAGAACTTTTAAGATTATAACGTTTTTTGTGAAAAAGTTCAGTAAACTTGATAGTTTATAATGTTATTTCATATGAAGGCCAATAAACTAAATTAAATAATTGGTTTCATTCCATTATATTTTTGTCTATAAACATTAACTTCAACAAAACTGAATGCATTATATTATAATTGGTATTCTGTGTTAATTAAAATAGGTACTAAAACATAAAGACTTTCATCACTCGTAGTAGTTGTCTAAACTCTGGTGAGCAAAGTACCTAGGTATTAAATGTATTTCCTACAGTGCAAGTTGTTAGGTACCTTAAAATGTATATTAGGTAGTATACAATGTTTGACTTCAGGAAAAAATTCATATTATTTTAATATCTAATTTTATGTAGATAGTCTTGTGTTGTGTCATGAATATTAGTTTTTATTTTAATTGCCTATAATTATACCAAATGGAACCGTGCGTTTTTAAATTTTGTAGGTATTTTGAAATGATTTTTAATATCTTCAAATACTTGTTTCAAGATATTTATTTTTTCCAATTTAACTAACTAGTTCACTAGAAAACAACCAACATAATTTCAAATGTGTCTCTTTGTTTTGATTAAGTCTAGTACGGCCTAGTAGTAATATAATGAGGTTATTTTAATGTATAGACTTTAAATATGGTATAAATGTGGAAGATAGAACCAATCTCCAGTTGAAAACAGTCGTTTTACTTCTGTCTCAAATTATTATAAAACGATGCTTAGCTGATGATGTATCTGCACTCAATCATCTGAATATAATATTTTGTAATTGGTTTAAATTTCCATAAAATTTCCTAGAAAAAATGGAATTCTGAAATGAGTTATATAAATAATAATAGTTGCATCAATTATAGGTCTTATAATATTATAGTTTAATATACCTACAAATATTTTGTTCTGTCAGTTTTTTCACAAAAACTAATAATTCTGGTATCATTTGCTGAGTAGATTGTACCACCTTCCAAAAATTTTAATTTAAATGTAAATCAATATCCTGAACATATTTATATAAATTACAAGTATTAGCACTCTATAAACATCCCACTTGTAAGTGAAAAATAATGATTTAATTTACCTAGGTATGTTGTTTAAAATGCGTAAAAAATTCAAATTGTTTTATGTAATCAATTAAGATTTGTGATGTTAATTTAAAAATGTTGAACATTAATTTTTACTCACATTAACATTATTCACTGGAACACTATATGTATGTCTGGAATAATAGCAATTATTACCATTTCCTAAAGTACTCCTTGAACCCTGACTATTTACTATGTGAAATCCTCCTTTATATGACCTACTCAATGATAATTTATATATTAAAAAGTTTGTTTTTAAAACTAGGAGATTGAGGTTACTCTGTACACCAGTGATTACTATCTCCAATAACATACCCTACAACTGAGGCTGATAAAAATAGTATATTATTAATGGTAAAATAATCTAACGTTGTAATGAGGACTTAAAATCACGTTTTAGATTTATCTGTTAGTGTATTTCATTTTTAGACTGATTTTGCCAAATAAAATATTTTTTTCCTTTATATATACTTGTAAAAAGAACAAACTCTACATTATAAGCCAGAAAAGGCTACAGCAATAATAAATATAATAAATGCATGCATAGTTCTCCACAATATCATGTGTATAATGTAAAATGGCGAAACAACATCTCACAGTAAATACTCAAATACCTACTTAAATTGTGTAGTATTTCAAATACTACTCAAATACTTTTGGTTTTTAAAGTAGGTTTCTAATTATCGTATTATAGACACAGAGGTAGTAGGTTTAAAATCATTTTTATTTGTTATTTATTAAATAAATGTATATTACATTCAGTGCCAGCGCTAGGTATGGCCCTGGACATAGGTAATAGGTGCCCAGATTAGGAAAAAATTCTAGGTTTTTTTTTTAAATCATAATTTTTTTAAAACTAATGCTGTTTTTATTTGAATTTTAAACATTAAAAATAATAATATCAGATTACTCTTATCCTTCTTTTTTTATTATAATGTGTTAACAAAAAATTATTGACAAATAATAAAATAATATGTATGTGTTGAAAATTATAAGTTAATAAAATCTTGGGGGGCTTATTATTTTATTAATTTCTATTTATTTTAATAACTACAACTTATAAAAACATCAATAAAAAATAAATAAAATCATCAAAATGACGAAAATCACACTTTCAACAGACAGGCAAACACATTGCACACTACTACACAAGTCTTTAAATTATTAAATGAAATGTTGCAGGCTTGCAGGCAGCAGCTATATAGTGGATTAATCTATATTATTCCCGTAATTCTGCATAACCATTAAGGCAGGCATTGTATCTGATATTATCAACAGTATTCTAATAATTCAAAGGGAATATATCATTCAATAACTATTTTTAGAAATGTGGTTTTCACAAACCTTCAGGCTTTGGCTAACACAGAATTAATACAGAATATTAATTAAACTATTATTATATTATTGTAGTTGGCAATAATATTTTTCTAACCAATTACCTATTTCGAATAAAAATAAAATGTTGGAAATAAAATACCAAAGTATTCAATACAAAAAAAGTATTTAAAACGTTATTCAATACAGAACAAGTTTTTGAAAACTTTTACTCAAATACTTTACAGGACTGGTTAAAAGTGCATGTTAATAATTGCAACAAAAAATAAAGACCGTCAAGTGAGATTTGAGCGCAGCCGTTGCTTACAGTATCTAACCTAACAGCGATTGTAATAATTGGCATCAAAATTATTAGTATATCAGTGTTTATTTATTGACTTGATTTATTTATTATTATTATTATTAATAATAATATTTATTTATTGTTAGTTAATAGGTATATATACATATTTTATATAAATATATAATTATTAGGCTTCTTAGAGGACTAAGAACTAGGAACTAGACTCTAGGTATATCGCGAATTTTTTTCCGGAAATTTAGATATCGATAATATTAATATAGGTATTGGTAATGGAAATTTATTTCTGGTTACTGGAAACCGACTGATTTTAATGCCAAAAATCGTGTACAATATATTATTTAAAAACAATTTGTTTAGTAGTCAGAGATATCAATAAATCAAACAAATCACACAACTACGAAGAATGTAAAACTTCATACGCGCGTACTTTCAACACACAATATGTTTTGCCAATGTATACGAATGTTGGAAAATAGTAATTTTTGTAGAACACAATTATCGGGAAATTAGGTACCTATAAAGTAACGATTTTCTTATTTTGTAATTCAAAAACAAATAATTGAAAAACTTTCGCCGGGTCAAAAAGCATGATAATTAATACCTACTAGGTTCCTCTAAGTTGTTATAATATCAGTTCAAAAATATTAAAGATAAGTACATAATCAAGAACTTTTTATAAGCATTTAAAGTTCATATTTTGACAAAACTCATCAAATTTGTATTCGTACATTTTTGTAGAGTTGGCAAATTAATGAATCAAGCACGCACCCTCCTCCCACCATGATTTGTCTTTGTATTTTGGGACGTTCTCGTGTGTTACCTACTAACGTCTCACGTCATCGGATTTCGATGTATACTAGTAGAATGATAGAATTAATTCTACACCCGCTAACCTCACCCACTTCAACATGTGATAACGTGCCGTGTTCAGCCTTAGTAGATAACCGTGGACACGATGCCAACGTGGCGTTTTTATCAGTAGTAAAGTCCTTGAGTGCGAGTGTACAAAAAAAAATGATTGTTCTCTTTTGAGACAGAGTATATTATATATCTAACAATCTAACATACAAGTATATAACTTATTGTTGTTTATTTTGTAACGTATTTTTATTATTTTTGTTTCCTTTGTTTTTTTACAGTGCCCTCCCTCGAATAGGTTTGGCACTAATGTTTGGTTTGTTTCCAACGAACGCAATTGACGGTGCTTGCAGTTTCCGGTCAGTTATAGCCCCGAAAACTATCCTGTGAGACGTGTGGTCTGTGTCTATTGAGGCGTTTGTCCAGTGTTCAACACCTCATGTGTTTGACATACCAATTTATTAGTTCAAGATCCACATAGTTCCGGGGCTTTACTCTTCCAACCGAGACTTATGGTCACAACCTGCCTAAACCTAAATTGAAGCCTAACATTCACAATGAGCATCAACATATACGAACCGAGTTCACAGGACTTGGTATTCTTGGAGACCGATGAGGTTGACATAATTGACGAAGATACCCAGAGCGATGATGCTGATACCATTTGCGCAGATACCCAGGACAGTGATTTTGAGTTTACCGACTTCACATTGCCATCCCAAAGCCAACCGCTAATGTCTCAATTGGAATCGCCATCATTGGCACATAGAGTATGAACAATAATCACCCCATTTATGACAAAAATATAATATTGTTACAATTTGTTGTTTTGCTTTTTATTTATTTTTTTACATCTATTTCGCATTTACAGATGCAATTTCTAAGCAATAAGATTGATAAAAATGACACTAATGTCACTACAGTCACTAAGAAAATTGGTGAATTACGGTTCAAGGATGAAGAAGAAGATTCATTTTTTACCGAGGTAATATTTTTGTGTATAATAAGTAATAACCACCCAGAAAAATTAATGAAGAAAAAGTTTCATTTTTTACTGAGGTAATATTTTTGTGTATAATAAGTAATAACCACCCAGAAAAATTAATTTTAGTGTTATAAAAAATTTAAAATATTGATATCCCTAGTTTTATTTATGCTTTTATAATTATTGTAGTATAATGTATCCATGGCTTACATATTTAAATCAACAAATAAGCTTTGTATCGAACATTTATTTTATACTTATTTAAAAGTATTATTGACTTTTTTAACTTTATCAGTGCATATTACGAGTTAAAATGTTAATTGTAAGTAAACTATTACTTTAGGAATTCATTTATTTTAGAAATACAGTGAGTACCGCTTAATTTGATCACATTGATTCAGGCCATTTTGATTCTATTATCCAGTTGATTCCATAATGAATTTTTTTTTTCAATATAATATTTGGTTTGGGACTTTCATTTTTTATTCCAATAAACAGTTGATTCTATAAACCAGTGATCACATTAAGTGGAACTCACTGTAATATCAAATGAATAACTAATGTACCTCATTACCATTCACACCAACATCTTATTTGTATAAAACTATATAATACCTAATCTAGTAATGTTATATTAATATGATTCTAATAATATTTAGGAATTGCCATATTATGCATGCAAATATTGTGGTATTCGTGATCGTGGATGTGTAGTCATGTGTAATATTTGCAAAAAATGGTTTTGTAATGGTCATGGGAATACTTCTGGATCACATATTATTAATCATTTGGTTCGAGCCAATCATAAGGAGGTTACATTCCATAAAGATGGCCCATTGGGTGAAACTGTGTTAGAGTGCTATTCGTGTGGTGTAAAAAATGTGTTTGTGCTTGGATTCGTAACCGCCAAAGGAGACTCAGTGCTCATATTGCTATGCAGACAACCATGTTCTACACAAAATACTTTAAAAGATCTGAACTGGTAATTATTTTAAGTTATTAACATTAAATAATATTTAAAATGTATTTATTATCAATTTATTAGGGATCAAGAACAATGGAAACCATTGATTGCTGATCGCTGTTTTTTGCCTTGGCTTGTTAAAGTACCAAATGAAACTGATCAATCGCGCTCTAGAAATGTCAGTGCTACTCAAATCACCAAGCTTGAAGAACTATGGAAACATAATAACGAATCAACAATTAATGATCTTGACAAACCAGTTATAGATGAAGAGCAACAAATCGTTTTACTCAGATACAAAGATGGATTTCACTATAAAAACGTATTTGGATCATTGGTGAAGTTAGTAGCAGACAATGATAAACATCTAAAAGAATCTCGGACTCAAGAAAATATTACTGTACGCTGGGATGTTGGGTTAAATAAAAAAGTTGTCGCCCATTTCCATCTAGCCAATACTGATGGTGAAATGCGTTTAATGTATGATGACGAACTGCGTTTGAGATTGACAGGTGAAAATCCTTGGGATGGAATTGGTCATGTTATTAAAATACCTGACAATTATGGAGAAGGCATTGGCTTGGAACTGAAAAGTAACAAAAGTGTACCAACTGAAATAACGTCAAATTATAAGGTAGATTATATATGGAAACCTACATCTTTTGACAGGTAAGTTTAGAAAAAGTTAAATACTAAAATGTACTGGTTATTGTTTATATAGTAATAAATATTTTATTTGTCATTGTTTAGAATGCAGTGTTCATTGAATAGATTTGCTACAGATGAATCATCAGTGTCGACATATATATACCACAAACTGCTGGGTCACGAGTTTGATGATCTAATTTTTAGGTCAGATATACCAAAACATTTCTCGGCACCAAACTTACCAGATTTAAACAGATCACAAGTAATTACCCAATAGTCATTTCTTGAAAATGTGAATTTTTGCTCTGACGTACCTATATTATATTTGCTAATCATAGGTAAAAGCAGTTAAGCATGCTATACAACGGCCTCTGTCTTTAATCCAAGGACCCCCAGGAACTGGTAAAACAGTGACTTCTGCTACGATTGTGTACCAATTAGTGACAATTAATGGTGGACCAGTATTGGTATGCGCTCCTTCAAATATCGCAGTGGATCAACTAACAGAAAAAATTCATAGAACTGGCTTAAAAGTATGATGTTTTGATATAAGTTATATTGGTTTTTATTAATATAATTGATTTTAGGTTGTCCGATTGTGTGCTAAATCTCGTGAATCTATTAATTCTCCAGTTTCGTTTTTAGCTCTTCATACCCAGGTTCAAAAGGTTCCAAGGTAATTGATTTTATTATATTTTTATTGCTGTGAATTTGTATGTACTAATTGTATCTTCTTTAATAAGCAATGCTGTGCTTCAAAAGCTACAACAGTTGAAAGATGAGACTGGTGAATTGTCAATGGCCGATGAAAAGAGGTATAGTGTTCTGAAAAAAGTAGCTGAACAAGAATTACTTAAAGCCGCAGATGTAATTTGCACTACATGTGTTGGAGCCGGTGATCCGCGTTTAATGCAATTTAAATTTCATTCTATCTTAATAGATGAAAGCGTGCAAGCTACAGAACCTGAATGTATGGTGCCAGTTGTGCATGGAGTACAACAAGTAATTAAAATAATTATTTATTTTATAGTTTTTTATTATTTTATTAATTTCTTTCTTTTTTAAGTTAATTCTGGTTGGAGACCATTGCCAACTTGGGCCTGTGGTAACATGTAAAAAAGCTGCTAATGCTGGGTTGAATCAATCTCTTTTTGAGCGTCTTGTAGTTTTGGGTATTCGTCCATTCAGGCTGGAAGTTCAGTATAGAATGCATCCAGAACTATCACGATTTTCTTCAAATTTCTTTTATGAAGGTTCATTGCAAAATGGAGTTTGTGCTGGTAATAACAATATCATATTAACAGTACTATGGTATGTTAATTTATTATTATTATATGAATATAGATGATAGGAAGTTAAGAAAAATTGAATTTCCTTGGCCGGTGGAAAATGAACCTATGTTATTTTATGCGACACTAGGCCATGAAGAAATAGCAGGTTCAGGAACGTCATATTTAAATAGAACAGAAGCTGCTAATGTTGAACAAATTGCAACTAGGTTTTTGAGATGTGGTGTGAGACCTGATCAAATAGGAATTATCACACCATATGAAGGACAACGTGCATACTTAGTAAGTTGAATCCATATGATATGTTTATTAATGATCTATTAATTATTTATACGTAATAATGTTGTAATGCTTATTTAGGTACAATACATGCAATATCAAGCCCCTCTTCCAGCTAAATTATATCAAGAAATCGAAATAGCTAGTGTTGACGCATTTCAGGGTCGTGAAAAAGATTTTATTATTATGTCCTGTGTACGTTCCAACGAAAACCAGGGAATTGGTTTTCTCAAAGATCCCAGGCGATTAAACGTTGCACTGACTAGAGCTAAATATGGCTTATTAATTATTGGGAATCCAAAAGTTTTATCAAAAGTATATTGAGTAGAGCTCATTATTTACCCTCTTAACTGATTGAAATTTCATTTTAGAAACAATTATGGAATCACCTGTTGAACTACTATAAAGCAAAAAATGTATTGGTAGAAGGACCATTGAATAATTTGAAAGCATCTCTTATTCAACTGCCTAAACCCAAACAGTTGGAGAGTACAACTAATCCAGGAGCATATTTTATGACAACTCAAATGTATGATGCTCGTGAAGCTTTGATCCCTGGTTGTGCTCATTATCATAGCAATCAAGGAAATGTACCAATTAGTCATGGTATACCTCAATATTTTCCAAAACCAGGTACTATAATCTTTCAGTTCATTGTATGCTTATAATAATAAATTCAGAACGTCAAAATTAAAACATTTTTTTCTTTAAAAAAAGTTTATACTTATAATTTTAAAAAAAAAATACTGTGTTTATAGGTCCTGCTGTTGAAATGGGTTTGAATTTTAATACTCGTAATGATGAATCATCAACGTTTATCATACCAAATTTCAGACCTGAACTACAAATTGGCGGGATACCTCTTGGCATGATGATGAATATGAATCAATTGGCTCCCACCAGATTCTTTAATCAACAATTTGTTAAAAGTAAGTTCATCTATTTAGTATTTTTTAAATATTTTCAATCCTATAATATTCATATCCTTTCTGTAAATTGTACCTTTATAATTGTAAGATCTAGTTAAATAAATAAAAATTGTGTATAGATCGCCCGAATATACATACTAACCATCGGCCAATGACTAGTGGTCGTCTGAATAATAAAGCAAATCAGAAGAATCAAAAATCAAATGAAATCCATGCTTCGCCACTCATCTCAATTACTCAAGATGTTAGTCAGCCCATGTCACAGGTAATTAATTTGCACTCATTATTATCAATAAATTCTATTGTATTTTTACTTACACGTGCATTTTTTAGAGTATGTCTCAGCCTGAGTTCAGTCTTTCGCAACCTGGACTATCTCAGCCTGATTTATCCCAGGACAGTTTCATAATGAATGAGTTTCATTCGCAAATGGATGGATTACTCTCACAAGATTCAACATATGAAGGTGGCCGTACTGTCACACCGTTTTAATAGCCACCAAATACATTGTACTCTCAGGTAAATCAACTTACTTTGTTAGTGATAATTGTATCATTATAATAAAGATCATAATAATTATGATATCATATTTTATTCTACTTTTATCATGTAGCAACCATATTTAAGACATTTACAATGGACAAGTACAACAAATCTGCATGTAGGAATGTATTAATGGTGCTGATATATCCACAGAATAAATAATATTTTTATTACTGAGCGTCATCTGTGGACATCGTAATAACAAACGTTAAGTATTTGTGGGAGATAACAATGTTTTTTGTATGTTATAGTTTAACATATTTTTTTATTTATTTATTTTTTTTGCTTATTCACCTTTTTATAATCACATGTTGTTTTACATTCTTTCTATTATAGAATTTTATGATAATTTTAATTAAATTGATTTTACAATGATGTTTTTTTTTTTTATTTTGAGTGTATCATCACTAGAGCTGGGTGTTATATGAGTTATATATTAATCATGCTCTATAAATTGTACTTATGGGAGCTTATATGTTTTAAATAGCCATTCAAATGGAAACAAAAAGAGTTGAGCTTAAATCCACAGTAATTTTTATGAATTATATTAAGTTATTAAGTATTAAGTTAGAATTTGGACATTTGTAAATTTTTTTGAGTGAGTAATTCATAAGAATTGTTCTATTTATATATCTAAGATTTGATAATGTAATACAAGATTCTTCATAAGTTTTCCTACTTTTGAAAACAAAAAAGTTTACTGATAATTCAAATTCTATGTTTGTTCATGTGTTAAAGCGTGCAGCTCTTTATTTTAATGCTAGTCACTCACACTTGGACAGTATTTATGATAGGGGATACAAATCATATTTTGAAATTTTTTTTTTACATTTATTTTGTGTGACATTTTAGGCCCGATCGAATGTTATCACTTTTGTGGTCGCACAAGGGTTTGTTTTCACAGTAATAGTATGTTATGCACAAGTGGATTATTCATTTTTTTTTTTTATTATTGCATTAAACTAATATATTATTTACGTTATTTGTATTTCATACCTGCATATTATATATGTTCAGGTTAAGAGTGCCCAGTCGCTCGGACAAAATGCATCTTGCTACGCGGCTCAGATTTTATGCTCGAGTTTGGACACTCTTAACCTGAACAGAGTATAACAGTTTAGAAGTTCTATACTTATTTACATACCAAAAAATTTCAACAATTATAAATAAAACTTAAATTAAAATTAAAATACCATTTACTAAAAAAATAATGATTTTAAGTTTATTTCTACTGAAAACCAACAAAAATTGATTTATACCCCTTTTTATAAAAACTGTCCACTTATACATCCTCTGTATGCATAAAATATTTAATACACCTTGGTTTTAGGTATGTTGGGAAAAAATATTCTTATACATTTTATAAAATGCATATTATAATTATATTTAAAAAATTCATTATGTGATATAAACAATTGTATTTGTTATAAACATCTTGGGTTAAATTCTGCCCTGGACCCATGCCTCCGATAGTTTTGCTTATTGTTACAACTTTAAGACATCACATAACACAACACCTTATAGCCTAAAATGTAATTTTAAATATTTACATTTATTTAAATTAATAGAAAATTAGGAAAATAATTGAAAACAAAATATTATTGCAAGCCCAGATGAAGTATTATATGACTATTGGAATACCAATTTAATAGGTACTTATAATTGATACCAACGTCACCCGTAAAGTACAATGCTTAAGAAACTCAATTTTATAGAAAAAAAATTTAACTGTCAATAGGTCATTGAAACACCTTGTACCAATTGGGTAATACTGTAAGGGGATTTCGTGTCCGAAACAGGGTATGTACCATTTTGCGATTTACGGGTATAAGAGTAGGTAATTTATTACTCGGTTATGGGTTTTGCCAAGCCTGGGCATAACCGCGTTAAAAAGTTAAAAGTTAAGTTAATTTTAACTTTTAACTTAACTTTTTAAAATTTAATTTTCATTAATTTAATTTTTAACTTAACTTATTTTAATTGATATAGACTTAATAAATAACGAGTTACTTTTAATCAAATTCAAGTTAAGTTAGATTATAAATAAATAAATAATAAATACAATAAAAATAAAAATAATTATTGATATTTCATAACCATTTACTAAAATAGGGAATTACAAATATAGTTAAATTAATTTCTTGTTCCATTAACCAGAATTCTTCAAGAAAAATAACTCAATTAAATACATATAGATATAGCAATAGCCAATTATATTATATTAACATATAGGTGTATCGTATATATAAAGATATAAATACCATACCATACTGCGGTATAAGGGCATATGGTAATAATAATAATAATTAATAAATACTAATAAGTAATATAATATTATTTAATTGTATTGATATAGATACAAATCAAAAATGTACAATTGTCAAGTATTGTAAAATATTTTCTGCATAAATAAGTTATTTTTACATTAAGGGGATTCCACAATACCACTTTTTAGAGTAAAATAGATCTATACGCGTTCCAACGTACTAACTTGAGTTTTACTACTGAGATAATTTTGAAAACATATTTGAATTTATTATGAAGTCTATTTTGAATCCTTCGAATCAGAATAATAATAAAAAAAAGTTTAAAACTATTTATGTCCATTAAAATTTTAGATTCTGAAAGGAGCGAGGAACTTAGTGGTTTTACAATGGTGTTTATTATTTTTTTTTTTAAATCCTGTATACACAATTTCTACCAGAAGGAGTGCTTCGATTTCAACATATAGTACCTTATCTTTTAGAAAATTGGATCAAGATGGTACTTTATAGAGGTCATTTTTCAAATTTATCAATAGTTATATAATGCCACTGGAAAAACCACTGAAAAATTACGAAAAACCTCTAAAAATGGGAATTTAATTTATAACGCTTTGTTTATCACCGTAGAGACGAATAAAAAAAGCGGGTAAGTGGATGTCGCTCTACTGTACAGTAGGTTACAAGTGGGTCATTGTATTAAACTTGAATTAAATGATATTCTATCATTGTATAAGAAAAACGATTCTGAGAGGAGACTGTTTGTCAGTCTAGATATTTTATATTGTCATTAATTATTATATCATGTATTCTTCTTGTAAGTTGAATTAATATTATAATATTATAATTTTTTATTCGTTTCTATGGGAATAAACTAAGCGTTAGAAATTAAAATCCAATTTTTAGCGGTTTTTCGTAATTTTTCGGTGGTTTTTACCGTGTCATTAAATAACTATTGATAAAATTGAAAAATTACTTCCTTAAAGTACCATCTTGATAACATTTGCTAAAATATAAGGTACTATATGTTGAAATTAAAATACTCCTTCTGGTAGAAATTTTGTATACAGGATATAAAAAGAAGGAAAAAAAAAACACCATCGTAAAATTTCATTCATTCGTTCCGCTCAGAATCTAATAATAATATTATAATATATTAATTCAACTTACATGATATAATAAATAATAACAATAAAAAATATCCAGACAGACAAACCGTCTCCACTCAGAATCGTTTTTCTTATACAACGATATCCTGGTCTAAACTCCGTTCGATTATCCGCCTAAGAACTCTGAATATAGTAATTTTATTGGACGCCAGTTTCCGATATTGGATTCTTTTCCTTTCTCTTTATATATCAGAATTGAAGGGATGGGTGTTAATTGACATTTTCTAAACTTTTCAGGAAGCATAATTTTAGTTTATAAATTTTTAAATGTTTGGAACTTTTATAGTTTTTAAGTAAAGCACACATGATTTGGATTGTTTTATACATCATATGCTGCTTTAATATTGAGAGAATACGGAGCTTTTTAGGGCTCCGTAAACCACCCACGACAAAAGGGGAACACTTTTGTCGCGACCTGTGGGCTGTGAGCCGCACCGCGTGATGGCCCAAGGGCCAAGTCGGTGGAGCTCACAGGCTTTGAACACGCAACGGCAATTGAATGCCGAGGATTTATTAAAGGGGAAAATAATATAAAATAATAAGAAAAATTTTAGGGTAATCACGTGGATATATTAAATTGGCATTACAAGGGGAAATTGAAATTTAATATTATAAAGATTAAGAATAATATGACAATGATAATATGATATAATATTTTGGCGCACGGCAAATGCAAACAATATAATTTGGTGGCACATGGCATATATAAACAATATAATTTGGTGGCATGCTTTCCCGGCCCGCCGGAGGCGACACACCATATTACTCATGGTGTGTCCTCGCAGGGTTACCGGGAAAGCGTGCCGGGCTTATGAAAGCCGAAAACAAAGGGGGGACAGGGGAAATAAATACATATTACGACATTTGATATTTTGATGTGACGAGCTGCGTGGTCGATGTTGTAAGCTGGAGCAGTTGTGGCCGCCGCCCGGGCCCTCGTGGTTTACTCAGCCCATCATGGTGAGCGATCGCAGCTGTCCAGTATGTTGACGGTAGTTGAAAAAGATTTTCGGAAGTCGGTTGTTTGTCGATCAACTCGGTTGCCTCGTGGTCTGCAGGTCGTTTTAACAAAGACGAGTGTATGAAGTCGACCGGGCAGGTGTGGAGATGTCAACCAGGCAGGTTGAAAGTCCGTAAGAAAAGTGATTTTGCTGACACGGAAACCCGGCGACGACGGTGGCTTGTTGCCGGCGGCGGAGCTTTTCTTTTCGTTGGTGGGGCAGGTCAGTGTCGTCATTGTGTGGGAATGTACAATATGTTCGGGTCGTTCAGGACTGTTCTGCCGGGGCGGTGCCGTCGGACGCGACAAAAGCGCCGACAGCAACGGCGGCCGTGTGTGGCGACATGAGGACACCGTGCACTGCGGGTTTGTGGGGGCCGGGGAACAATAATTACATAATACTGCGGTCATTTCTGCATTAGCGCGCGATAATCATAATAATTTATAAATAAGGTATGCTCATTAGTGGCAATATGGGTACAGGTATGTTTGTTATTGTAATAATATGAATGCAAAAAA